CAGTCGCGCCGCCAGCTTGTCGACCTGCTCCTCCAAGGCCCTCCGGTCTTCCTCACCCCTTTTCACTACCTCCTGGTTTACCCTGCGGTCCTCCTCGAATCCCTCCAGCGCCTCATTGAGAAGGTTCCTCAGTCTCTGGTTCTCCTCCTCCAGGTCCTCCACCTTCGTCTGGGAGTCCACCAGCTCCTTCGCCAGGTGGAACGTCCCCACGCACACCTCCTTGGAGAAGATCTCCAGATCTTCCTTCTCCTCCTCCTGCATTCGACGCCACCACTCCACCCCAGACTCCTCCAGCGTATAATGCCGCCAGTCCTCCGCCTGGGCTAGCAGCCTCCCTACGGCCTCGAAAGGAGCGAGGGTTTGCCACTTCCTCAAGTCGCTCTCGAAGCCGTCTTTCGCGTCTTGTCCCTCCACGTATAACTGCCACCACGCGGTCCACTCCTCCCTATCTTTTACCTCTTCTTCTGAGAGGGTCCGGTCGACCTCCATCCTTCCATCCTCAGCCGCCTTTCCACTCCCACTCTTACCCCGACTCTCCTTCCTCTCCGCCGAGGTCGAAGGCTTGGGGTCCTTGCTCTTCTTGTTTGTTGTAGTAGGCGCCATTTTAGTTATTCCCTCTCTCCTCTGCGGCTGCCCCAGCCAGGGCATGCCCCCCTCCCAAACATGGGAGGCCCCGAGTCCTCCCGGGGAGCTGGGATATGGCACGGGCCGGGGGGAAAACCGCACCCCGGCACTGGCCTCCGGCCCCTTACTCACCACAAGTGGCTTTCAGGGGTGACACCGCTAGCCTAGTGCGCGCTGAGCACTGCCCCTAAGCCACGGGTTGAGTGGCACCTCCCGTCGGTCCGCGTGGTGAGCGGACAAACTCCTAGTCACGGCCGCGTGCTGAGCGGCTCCCCCGCACCGTACCTAACCTCGCATCCCATGCCCCGAGCTGAGGGAACCGCGACCACGTGCTGAGTGACAGCCCCGCTCCGATCGACAACCGCGCTCACGACGCTACAGTCCCGTCAACCGAACCGCCGCGGTACCGATACCGACGCTCGCGCCGCTACAGGCCCGCCAACCGACTCGCGCCGCGATACCGAACGGACCCGCGCCGGAGTACCGAACACACCGCCCCGCCACCGAGCCGATACCCGCGGCCGATATACGTCAAGCGCAACGCGCCAAACAGATAGAGATATGAAGCCGCAGCCCGAGCTGCCTATGCATAGATATAAGTAGATATAAGTAGGTGTAAGCGATTAGTCTAAGAGCACTTGTAATTCTAGGTATAAGTATATATAAAATAAATCTAAGTGTAGTCAAGAATCAAACCGAGTATACGCTTGTTTGCCAATGCTGCCGCCCGAACCCTGGACTGTCACGAGTTATCCGCGCAAATATCACGAAAGTCCACGGTTACAAAGTTATCCTTTTGCTTAATACCTCGTGCAACGATTTGTCCCTCTTTCGAGAGTATGTCGGCGTAGTCGCCGTTCAAAGCAATCGTGAACCCTTTGGATGTGCAAACACCGGTAGAAAAAAGATTTTTCTTTAAGCACGGAACATATGAAACATCTTTGATCTCGCCGTCAAGCCATTCGTCACCGATCAATCTCGAGATAGGTATGTTTCCGCGACCTTCAACTTTTAAGCTTCTGTTGTCTCCAAGATAAACATATTGCTACATGGTAATAACTCTGTGAACCATTCTCTCTGACAACAAAGGTGTCGCGACGCGCCGCTGTCGAGAAGCCAAATATAATTTTCATTGAGTTCGGATAACGCAGCTAATTCGCGGCGGATCGTTTTGGTATTTTCTCCCTTCGCGGTCTCGTAAATGACGAACGCTGTAAAATTAGTTGAACCGTTGTTCTTAGGATTATTCGCTTTATCGCCATTGTCTTTATCGCTCTCTTTCGACGCCCTTTTTCTCGCGAAACAATATTTAGTGGCATGACCGGTTTTATGACAGAAATTACAAACGATCTTTTTCTTAAGCGTTACTTGATCGTTATTGTGTGATTGACCTTTTGGTTGACGCTGGCTCTTCTTTCCTGCAGCGGAGATGCTCGTTGTAGTCAGGGCGCTGCTCAGCTCGTCCATCGATGTCATTCGGGCTTCCTCTCGTATCAACCTCTCACGTAGACGTGGGAGCGTCTGTTCCATGGCGTTGACGCTGTCCCAGGCCGAAACGAAAGCGTTGTACTTCGTTGGTAAAGTCCCGAGGATCTTCGCCATTATCATAATGTCCGAGACGTTTTCATCGATGTCCTTTAGTTGATTCGCCATATTTTCAATTTTGGCGACATGTTGAGCAACAGAATCGCTGGCTGCCATGCGGTATTCGTGGAACTTCGTTGTGAGCGTTAGTCTGTTTGACGCGCTCTTTTGTTCGTGGATGGCGGAAAGTTTCGTCCACATTTCAGCTGCTGTCGCGCATGTAACGAGATACTCGAGTTGCGAGTATTCCATCGATGATGATAGAATAAACATTGAGCGTGCGTTCTTCTTCACCCAAGTATTTTGAGGGTCGCCGGCTGCTTCTGGTTTGACTTCAGAGCCTTCGACGATTTTCAGGAGATCATGCGCGACGAGAATGGCCTTCACTTGGAATTTCCACAACTGGAAATTTTGTCCGTCAAATCTCGTGATGCCTCTTAAGTCTGCGGTATCACTCATTTTGCACTTTGGTGTCTGTTTTTGTAAATCACCAAAACAAATGTGTTTTCGTCGACAGCAGTTCGATGATGCGGGCAAAGACTCGTTCGGACACGACGAATCGGCTCGCACGTGAGTGAACAGTCGACGAAGAATAGGAGATAACTTCCGAACTGAGAATATCTCACGGCACTGGGCCCATAACCTGTTGCGAGTGGAGGTTTTGGGTACGAAAACAGACAGTGTGCTTAGAAGGAAACAAAAATGTATTTTGCCGATACGAACACAGGCGAGGCGCTCGACGAACTTAGTGTGTTAAGAGAGGGAATAAGCGCGTATACATAGAAAGGCGATGTGTGCGCCTTCAGCGCCGCCAACAAAGAAAAACGTTCGCAAGTACATCTGGTGATATTTCGACCACGACTACGCCCTCTATATTCAATAGGCGCGCGGCAGGGAAAACGGAAAGGGGCGCGAAAGTAAAAAAATATTAATCGTAACATAAATTTTAAAAACATTTGTTAGATAAAAAATGCACAGGGAGATATTTTATGTTTGGCATGATTCTGTTCCAAATAAAACTGTCCTTGCAATATGTGCATTATATTCAATCTTTAAATAAAAATATAAAAAGAACAAAGTGATACTATTCTTACATAAAACATACTTTTTGATTTTCAATATTAATTTCTCTGGATATTAAGTCTCCTATGATAAAATTATACTAATCTTAATATATCTCCTTAGCAATTTTATTTGATATACTCATATTTCTTTAAAAAACTTAGCTTGATAGACAATTGGTAAAATAAACTTATGTTATGTTATTTATAAATTTAAATCACACATTTTATTTGATGTATTATTGTAATGATTATAAATGTGCAGTAGATTCGATGGTAAATATGCATAAAAAGACCCCACCTTCCGATGACCTTGACATTGACATATGTTGTCAAGGACACCCTCCTGAGTAACTCTTAGAAGTTTTTAGCCAGCGGTCGTTATTCATTAGAAAATTATTAACAAGAAAAGTTTGGGTAATTATGCATAAAAGCGACTTTCTCTCCGATTTGCTTTATTTTTAA